GGCGCCCCGGCCGGTCCCGGCTCGCCCGCGGCGGCCCCGGGCGCCTCGGCGGCGGCGAGCGCGGCGCGGAGCCGCGCGATCTCGGCCAGCGCGGCGCCGAGGTCCGCGAGGCCGTCCTCGACGACGGTGAAGGCCTCGTCGCCGCCGTCGAAGGCCGGCGGCGCGCCGGCGGCGGAGGCGCGGAGGATGCGCGCCGTCGCGAGGACGATCGTGTCGCCGACGCGCACGTCCGCGGAGTCGCCCCTGTCGATGCGGATGACGGCCCCGCCCCGGACGAGCGCCGTCGGGTGCGCGCCGCGCGACGTGAGCACGAGCGCGTCGCCGCGCCGCGCGAGCTCCGCCTGGCAGCGCGACACCGTGGGGCTCAGGATCTCCAGCGGCAGCGCGCCGACGGCGCCCTTGCGGCCGAGGACGCTCGTGGCGTCGGCGGCGATGGGCGTCACGAGCGACGTCTGCGTGCTCTTCAGCGAGAGCGCCTTCGCGCTCGTCGTCATCTGTGGCGGCGCGCGCGGCGTCTGCATCCGGCGCGACGCGCTTCTTTCGAGAGTGGCGCTCGTTAGGGTCGTGCGAGCAGCAATCAGACTCCCATGCGCTGCCGAGTCGATGGTGATCAGCTTTGAATTCGTGACGCTTGCTGGCGCGCGCCCGCTCGCCTGGAGCCACGCCACTGATCCGGAGTAGAATGCAGAATTGCTCCTCTGTCATTGCTGCTCTGGACCCATCTGGTCTCAATTGCGAGAGCGTGTACGAATTCAAGGCGGTACACAGCCGTCCACTCTGGTAAGGTACCCCCGGCGAGCGAGCGGAGCGCTCCGCGGATTCATCCGCGGCCGCACCCTGCGGAGCGGCACGATGTCCAAGCGCAGCGTGGAGAACAGCATCCCCGTGAGCGCCGGCGACGTGCAGGAGTGGCTCGCGGCGGCCATCCCCGACAGCGTCGAGGAGAAGGCCGCCGTGCTCGCCGCGGCCGCGGCCAAGGCCCTCGACGGCCCGGCCCTGCGCGCGCTCGGCGAGAGCGAGCTCAACAGCGTGCTGGGCCTCAAGAAGTTCGGCCCGCGGCGCAAGCTCTTCCTCCGCATCGCGGACCTCTCGGCCGTGCCCATCGCCGACGACGACGTCGAGATCCTCGACGAGGCGCCCGCGGCCGCGGCGGCGCCCGCGCCGGCGGCGGCGCCGGCCGCGGGCGACGACGACGAGGCCGTCGAGGACCGCATGAACGCCGAGGCCGCGTGCGTCGGCAGCTGCCGCTGGGTCGCGGACCGGCTCGCGAAGATCCTCCGCGAGCACCCGGGCTGGGCGTCCCGGGCGCTCGCCGACGCGCGGACGGCGGAGCTCCGGACGCTCGCGGCGACGGCCAAGGCCCTGCCGCGCATGTCCTGCGTCGTCTGCGGGACGACGGGCGCGGGCAAGTCGACGCTCCTCAACGCGCTGCTCGGCGAGTCGGAGGTGCTGCCGACGAACGGCATGCGCGCGTGCACGGCCGTGCTCATCGAGCTCCGCTACCTCGACGACGCCGCGAGCCCGGGCGACGGGTCGACCTACGTCGGCGAGGCCGAGTTCCTCACGCGCGCGGAGTGGGACAAGGAGGAGGAGGCGCTCTTCGAGGAGCTCACGACGCAGGACGGCCGCGCGATCCTCAACGTGAGCGACCCCAACGCGCACAACCACGGCGCCTTCTGCAAGCTCTACAGCGTCTACGGCGAGGCCTACACGCACGAGTCGACCTACGAGATCGTCGACCCGGCCACGAACAAGAAGCGGCGCGTCGCGATGACCGTGCCCGAGCTCCGCGCGAAGCTCCGGCGCCACACGCGGGTCACGCGCTTCCTCGGGACCACCCAGAAGGTCAGGGCGACGCACCCGCGCGGCTTCCGCCGGTCCCTCGAGCGCTTCATGGACAGCTCGAACCTCCTCAGCGACGGCGCGTGCTGGCCCATCGTCAAGAAGGTCCGCGCCTACGGCCGGTGGCCCGTGCTCAAGTCCGGCGCGGTGCTCGTCGACGCGCCGGGCACGCACGACAGCGACTCCGCGCGCGGCGCCGTCGTCAAGCTCGCGCTCAAGGAGGCCGACTCCGTCTGGATCGTCTCGAACATCAACCGCGCGGTCAACGACCGGTCCGCCAAGGACCTGCTCGGCGAGTCCTTCAAGCGGACGCTGCTCATGGACGGCGCCTACGGCCGCCTCATCTTCGTCGCGACGCAGTCGGACGTGCTCCAGCGGTCCGAGGTCGTCCGCGCGCTCAAGCTCGACGCCGCCGCGTCGCTCTACGACTGCGCCGTCGCGCGCAACGCGTACACGCGCGACCGCGTCAAGGCCGACTTCTACGCGGGCCTCCAGGACATGGACCGCGCCGCCGGCGACGCGCCCCGGAGCGCCGCGGAGCTCGAGGCCCAGTTCACGATGCCCGTCTACTGCGTGTCCAGCGTCGACTACCAGAAGCTCAAGGGCGTCCGCGGCGACGACGGCCCGCCCCAGGTCTACGACGCGGCGTCGCTCGCGGCGACGGAGATCCCGGCGCTCGTCGACTTCGTCCACGCGGCGTCGCTGTCGCTCCGCGCGCGCAAGGTCGCGCTCCAGACGCGGTCCCTGCTCGCGTTCGCCGAGAGCCTCGAGTCGGTCGTCGCGGCGAAGCCCGGCACGGGCGAGGAGCGGGCCGAGCGCGCGGCCTGCGAGCGCGCCTACGCGCGCGGCGTCGCCGGCCTGCCCGCGGCGCTCGACGCCGCGCTCGGGGGCTTCGACAAATCCGTCTTCGCGTCCCTCGAGGCCGACGTGCTGCCGCGGCTCGACGCGGGCGCGGCCGACGCGGCGAAGACGTGCGTCGCGACGGCGAGCAAGTGGGGCGGCTCCCGCGCCGAGGGCGGCCTCCACTGGGCGACGTACAAGGCGACGCTCCGCCGCGGCGGCAACTGGCGCCAGAACTTCAACGAGGAGCTCGCGGAGCCCGTCTACCGCGCGGTCGCGACGCACTGGGAGAAGGCCATGGTCGACAAGGCCCGGCGGGGCCTCGACGCGCTCGACGGCGCCGTGGCGAAGGCGCTCGCGGCCGCCCACGACGACCTCGCGGCGCGCCTCGGCGACGCGGCCGCGGAGCCCGCGCTCGCCAAGCTCGACGCCGCGCGCGTCGCCGCCGCGCGCCGGGCCCACGAGGCGTCGTCGTCCGCCGTCGCGTCGTCGGCCCTCGCGGCGACGAAGGACCACATCCAGAAGCAGCAGAAGGACCTGAGCCGCGAGATCACGCCCCTCGTCCAGGCGGCGATGCAGCCGGGCTACGACCGGGGCTTCGTCGAGAAGGGCACGGGCTCGCACCGGCGCCGCTGCGCGGTCGTCGAGTCCCACGTCACCAAGGAGGCGCGGTCCATGTTCAAGGGGGCCATCGCGCCCGTCGTCGCCCGCGCCGCGCGCACCCGCGGGTTCGGGGGGTCCCGGCCGAACGTCGATTCGGCCGATGTTCGGACGCGTCGCGGTCTCTCGGCGTGTCGTCCGCGGAGCGCGCGCGCGATCGCGTCGGGCCGGTCGGACGCCCGCCCGTCGACGACGCGAAACCGGGCGCAGGTCGTCGCGGGCCTCGCGAAGCTCCGCGCGGACGTCGGCAAGATCCTCAAGGACACGTGCGCGCGCAAGCTCCTCGACGACCTCCGGCTCAACTACTCGGTGCTCTGGGAGCCCGTGTCGCCGGAGATGCTCCGCGTCCGCGGCGCCATGGCGCACCCGCTCAACGTCGCGACGTGCGAGGTCCGCTCCGCGCTCCGGCGGCTCCTCGACTCGCAGGGCGCGGCGCCGGAGGCGCGCGCGGGCGACGACGACGACGACGGCGACATCGTCGACATCACGAGCAAGGTCGCGGCCGAGAGGACCGTCGAGGTCATCGACGTCGACGACCTCGACGTGCCCGACGCGCCGCCGGCGCCGCCGGCCGCCGCGTCCGCGCGGGGCGGCGTCAAGGCCGAGCGCGCCTGAGAGAGGCCGACACAAGAATGTGCAATAAAGCACCTTGAATGACATGGATGTTCAACGAGCCTTTTGTGGCATGTTCAATAAAGCACCTTGAATGACACGGATGAGGACTCGGATGTTCACCTTGAGCCTTTGGCAGTGACGAAGATGATGGCTCTTGCGCGAGCCGCTCGGCGGCGGCTCCTCCCCCGCGGCGCGCTGCGCCCGACCTCGCGGAGCGCGGTCACGACGACGTTCCTCCCCGAGAACCGCGAGTGGCACGAGCCCGCGGTGCTGTCCGCGGCGGCGGCGAGCTTCCGCGACGACGAGCTGCGGCTCCTCGACGCCCTCGCGGAGGCGGCGGCGGCGAGCCTGGACCGCGCCGTCGAGGCCTCGGCGGCCGAGGCGTGCCTCGACGCGTCCGTCGCCGCCGCCGGCGACGGCGACGCGGCGGCGCTCCTCGCGGACTTTGCGGCGCGCGCGCGCGGCGACCTCGCGGCGCGGGTCGGCGCGGGCGCGACGGCGGCGCCCCTCGCCGCCGGCGAGACGCTGCGCCTCGCCTACGCGGCGCGCTTCGCGGAGCGCGTCGCCGTCGCGCTCTTCCCGCCGGGCGGCGACCGCTACGGCGCGCTGCCGCCGCCGGCGGGCCGCGGCGAGCGCGCGCGCCGCGCGCTCGCCGACGCGGGCGCCGCGGCGCTCCTCGAGCCGGCGGCGGCGGCGCCAAGCGCCGCCGCGTCGCCGCGGCTCGGCGCCAAGGTGCGCGCCGCCCTCGAGGCCGCCTGCGCGGGCGACGGCGCCGCGCGCGTCGCGGCCGCGGCCGCGCTCGCCGACGGCGACGACGACGGCCTCGTCGACGTCGCCGAGGCCCGGGCGGCGCTCTACGCGGCGGCGGCGCCCGTCGCCGACGCCCTCGCCGACGCCCACGGCCACCACGTCGCCGCGGCGCTCGGCCGCGACCACGCGCCCGCGCGCCGGTTCCTCGACCGCGGCGCGGCCCGGCGGCTCCGCGGCGCGGCGCGCGGCGCGCTGCGGCACCTCGACCGCAACGCCAACGACGCGCTCGACCTCCCGGCGAAGGCGCGCTGCGTCGCCGCCTGGGCCGAGCCCGACCGCGTCGACGACCCGCCCGAGCCGCCGCCGGTTCTGAGCCCGGCGTGGTTCGCGCACCGCGGCGGCGCGGACGGCCGCGCGTACGTCCGGCCCGCCGCGCTCGCGGAGGCCACGGACGAGTTCTTCCCGGAGCACGCGAAGCTGGGCAAGGAGCTCGCCACCGCGCTCCTCCGGCACCGGGAGCAGTTCTGGCGCGAGCACGAGGAGGGGAAGACGTCCGCGTACCTCACGGGCGCCTTCTGCCTCTTCTGCGCCGCCGCGGACTACGCCATCATGGTCGCCTAGGCGCCCCCCCCGCCGCGAACCCGGCGCCGCGCGCCGCCGAAGCATCAGATGTCGTGATGCCATCGTGTGCACACCCAGTCGAGGATACTATTTCGTGCCCCCCCTAGACGGGTCCTGGTGCCACCAGAGAGGCTGCCATCCTGCGCGCGTTGGGGTAAGGTCTGTTGATCCCTGCGGCAGGTGTATACGCTTCGACCTGCAGGGGTGCGGCGAGTGTTGTTTCGGTTTCGCTGGGGACGCTGGATCCGCACTGCACGCCCTTGGCAAGGGACCGTTCGCCAGCTGGTTCTTTCGGTTGTTGTTTTGAAAAGTCGATCGCGCGCGGACGCGCGAGTCGAACTTGATCGTTCCGGAAGAAAAAAAAATTTTGTTTGGGGGAGCTGGTCGCAAGCGACCCGGGCTCGAGGAAGGGGAAGGGGACGGTGGGCGGCGCGTCGGGTCGCCGGTGGGGGAGCGGCGGGGCGGCGGGATTGGGGGGTGGCCGCTCGCTCAGATGGGGTGCCGCAGCGGCTGCCCTTCACGCGCCGGCGCCCGGCGCCGCGGACAGCGGGGACCGGGCGTGTGAATGGCAGTCGCGCGGGATGCGCGGTGCGGGCGCGGCGGGGTTGTCATGGGGGTTCTGTGTCGGACGCGCGCCCCCCCCGTCCGCTAGGCAGAACCCCCTCCCGCCGCGACACGCTTGGACGTTCTTCAGATGCACAGGGTTTGAAGTCTTGCGCGCTTAAGGGCCCCAAGTTTACATTGAAGCATATGAAGCCATAGTGAAGCACCAGTTGCCTTTGGCTTCAAGCAAACTTTTTTTTTTGAGGTGAGTGTGGAGGGGAGAACTTTATCATATAGTGAGGTGAGTGTGGAGGGGAAGGAACTGGCACTGCGCCACTCCCAACACTTACCAATCGTCGGCCGGAACGCAACATTAACTTATTGAAGCTGCGGGCGGAGGCCTCGGAGGCCCTCCGTGACGAGCGCGAGCATGTCGCAGCGGCTGGCCGTGCGCGTTCCAGCGGCTTGAATCGCGCGCGTTTGCGTGCCCCCATGACACGGCTGTCGTGCGCATCCAGCGGGAACATCGCAGGCGCGAGTACGCCGCTGCGGACAGCCCAGCGCCGCGCGTTTTTTTACAACAAGGCGGTACGAGGCGAGTGGACTCTGTGTAAATTTTAGGCCATCAGTGCACTCCGCAATCGCAGAGGGCGAAGCTGAGCACCGACGGCGCGAGCACCGCGACGCGGTCCGCGCGCTCGTGGCCGCAACCCGTCCGCCGCCGCTCGCGCGCGCCGGCGTCGCATCGCGATGGACGGCGCCGTCGCGTACGCGGCCGTGGAGCACGTGGCCTGGGAGGCGCGCATCGGCTGGGGCGAGTCGTCCGACGAGGGTAGCGAGGGCGAGCCGGAGCGCGCCTACCGCGCGTCCGCGCCCGGCAACGCGTACCTCGACGCGGGCGACTGGGCGGGCGCCGTGCGCTGGGGCGGCGACGGCGAGAGCGACGACGAGCGGCGCGGCGGCGCCGCGGCCGGCGCCGGCGCCGGCGCCGCGCCGGCGGCCGGCGCCGCGCCGGGCCGCGCGTTCGCGGAGCCCGGCGGCCGGCGGAAGCGGAAGCGCGAGCGCGGCGCGGGCGCGGCACGATTGAGCCGGCTGCCGCGCGCGGCGCACAGCCTGCCCGCGCAGCTCCACCGGTTCCTCGTCGGCGACGCGTCCGCGGCGGCCCAGGCGCTCTTCCACCGGCCGCGGCTCGCGCGCGACGCGCTCCGCGGCGCCTGGACCCTGGCGGCGCCGCGCGCGGACCGCGCGGGCGGCGCGGCGCGGTCCGCGCGGCGCGCCGCGCTCCGGCGCCGCGGCGGCGCGGGCGCCGCGTTGCACGGCGTGTCGCGCGACGGCGAGCTGAGGGCGGCCGACGGCGAGCTCCTGTTGCTCGAGCTGAGCGAGGAGCGGCCGCCCCTCGTCGCCAACGCGGGCATGGCCGCCGCGCTCTGCCGGCTGAGGCGCGCGCGGCCCGCGGACGACTTCGGCGACCGCGCCGCGGACGCGCGCGGCTTCGACGTCGACGTGCCCGCGGCCGAGCCCTGGCCGCTGCTCGGCGAGTGCGCGCCGGACGACGAGCAGCTCGCCCTCGTCTCCGACGCCTTCCGCGCGCCCGTCTTCCCCCACGGCGCGCCCGACGCCGCCGCGCCCGTCACCGACTTCCTGCTCTGCCTCGCGCCGCGGCCTAGGCGCGCGCGCCGCGACGGGCCGCCCGAGCCCTGGACCTGGGTCGTGCGGCCCCTCGACGGCGACCACCTCGTCGCGCTCCAGGGCCAGGTCGAGCCGCGCATCGAGGTGCCGCCGCTCGGGTCGAAGCGCGCCGCGGCGCGGCACGTTTCTACGGCGGCGCGCGCCGCGGGCGCCGTCGACGTCGCTTCGGCGCGCGTTCGGACGAGCCGCGCGCGCTCGGCGCGCGCGTTCCGGACCGCGGACCGCGCCGCGCGCGACCCGCGCCCCGCGCAGGCGCTACGCGGCGCTCCAGGAGCCCATCGCCGCGTTCCACGTCGCGCGCGCGTTCGCGGCCGCGCGCACGTCCCGCGAGGCCGCGGTGCGCGAGATCGCCGTGCCCCTCGACGAGATCCAGCGCGCGCTCTTCTGCAACACGCACGTGCCCGCCGCGCTGCTCAAGCGCGCCGTCGCCGACGTCGCGGAGAAGGTCCGGGGCGACGGCGTCGATTTGTGGCGCGCGCGCGGCGTCGTGCCCGAGGGCGACGACGACGACGCGGTCGGCGGCGCGGACGCCGCGCGGCGCCTCGCGGCCGCGGAGGTCGCCGTCGACGCCGACGACGTCGCGACGCGCTTCGCGCCCGAGGACGTCTGCGCCTACGAGAGCGCGAACGCGGCCGCGCGGGGCCTGCGGACGCTGGGCCTCGAGGCGCCGGAGAAGCTCGGCGGGCCCAGCGGCGCGGCCGTCGCCGTGCGCGCGCTCGGCCGCCGCTGCGCCGCCGCGCGGAAGCGCGCGGGCGACCTCCGCGCGCGCGCGCGGGGCGCGGGCGCGGCGCCCGACGATAGCGCGGGCCGCGCGACGGCGGGCGCGACGACGCTCGCGGACGTCGCGGCCGCCGCGGACCGGCGCGCGAAAACGCTCGAGCGGCGCCTCGGCGCCGCGCGGCGCGTCCACGAGGAGATCGGCCTCGCGCCGGCGCACCTGACGTCGGGCTTCGTCGACGCGCGCATCCGCGGGGCCAACTTCGCGATCCTCCGGCTCGGCGGCCTCGGCGACCCGTCGGGCGTCGGCGCGGGCTTCTCCTTCGCGCGCGCGTCGCTGGCCCAGTTCCGGTCCGCGGCGTCGCGGACGGGCGCCGGCGGCGCCGAGAAGCCCGCGTCGCTCGCCGAGAGCCGCGACGCGTACCAGGCGCAGATCGCGCTCGTCGCCGCGGCGCAGCGGCGCGCGCTCAAGCGCACCCTGGCGGACATGGCCCGCGGCGACGACGACGAGGCCGACGACGGCCGCCTCCTCGTCGGCGACCGCGAGTTCCGGAAGCGGGGCAAGCGCGGGCCCTACCGCAACTCGACGCGCTACGACGACGCGCGCGCGGAGAAGGCGCGCGCGCGCGTCGCGCGGCGCTGGGGCGGCGGCGCCGCGGGCCTCGACGACGGTGCCGGCGGCGCGCCGGCGCCGGCGCCCGCGCCCGCGGACGACGGCTCGGACCTCGACCTCTCGGACCTCGAGAACGACCTCCTCGACGACCTCGCCGGCGGCGACGGCGGCGACGGCCGCAAGGCGGCGACGGCCCGGGACGACGCGAAGGAGCTCGAGGCCCTGCGGCGGGACCTCAAGGACCAGGAGGAGCGGAAGCGCGACGCGGCCGCGCGCGACGCGCTCCGGGGCGAGTCGGGCGAGCCCGAGGCGATCCGGCGGCCGCCGCCTGTGTGGAAATCAACCACTGGTTTGGGTGGTCCTGACCAAACTTCAGAATTCTCTAGCTCGGTCAAATCGAAGTCGATTCGGCTGATTTTTGGACGAATCGATTGCTCTCGTCGAGTTCTCGAAGCACAGCGAAGAATCTTGTCCAAACCGTTCGATTACGCGCACATTGAAGTCGGGTTGAAGATTTGGAATCCACACAGGCCGCCGCGCTACGCCGTGCGCCGCGTGTCGCGGACGTTCGCCGGCGGCCGCGAGAAGGTGAGCGTGACCTTCGACGTCTCCGAGGGCGCCGTCGAGCGCGTCGCCGCGCGCACGGGCGTGGAGCTGCCGCCCGAGCGCGCGCCGTCGCCGCCGCGCGAGCGCCGCGCGAGCCCGCGGCCGCCGCCCAAGCCCGGGAGCCCCCGGCCGGGCGACGGCGACCTGCCGAACCTCGACTTCCTCGGCGGGCTCGACTACCTCGACGGCGAGCAGCCCCTGCTCCCGTCCGAGGACCTCGAGCTGCGGTCCGAGGACCTCGAGCTCGCCGCGGGGCCCGTCGGCCCCGTCGCGTCCAGCCCGCCGCCGGGCGGGCCGAGCCCCCGCGGCGGCAAGAAGAAGACCGTCATCACCTTCTCGGCCCAGGCGCTCGCCGACGCGGAGAAGGACGGCGGCCCGGCGCCCAAGGCCAAGAAGGGCTCCGTGAAGCTCAACATCTCGTCGCTCATGGCGAAGCACGACGAGCACAAGGCGGAGCAGCGCCGCGCCAAGGAGCAGCGCATGAAGGACGACGCGGCGTCCTACCACCGGCGGCCCGCGCCGTCGCGGCGCACGGCGCCGCGCCAGGGCGGGGGCGCGCAGAACAAGCCCCACGTGCGCCTCGCGGCGTTGCTCCGCGACGAGGTGCTGACCTGCGTGGAATTCAAGTCTTCAACCCGACTTCAATGTGCGCATATGTGACCGTTTCGACGCGAGCTCTTCGGCTGTGCTTCGAGAACTCGACGAGAGGAATCGATTCGTCCAAAAATCAGCCGAATCGACTTCGATGTGATCGAGCTAGAGAATTCTGAAGTTTGGTCAGGACCACCCAAACCAGCGGTTGAATTCCACACAGGTGCTGACGCCGCTCTTCCGCCGGCCGGCGCCCGCGGGCGCGTTCTTCAAGCCCGTGGACAAGAAGCAGTTCCCCCAGTACTACGTCAAGATCACCGACCCCGTCGACCTCACGACGATCAAGGAGCGGCTGGGCCGCTACGTCTACCGCGGGGCAGGAAAAGAGTGCGAAATTCCCAACTTCAAAGGCTCCTCTCTCGGCCGTTTTCCACTCGTTTCGGCTAATTTTTGGACGAGCGGTCATCTCTTGGAACGGTCTCGAAGCGTGGATGCTTTTTCCGGAACGCGCGCGCGCGGAACACGCACGTTGAAGCGAACTTGAATCACTCTTTTCCTGCCCAGGTCTACCGCGCGCGGTCCGCGCTCCTCAAGGACCTCGCGCTCATGGCGGCGAACGCGGCCGCGTTCAACGGGCCCGCGCACCCCATCGCCCTCGAGGGCAAAGCCATGGTCGACGCCGCCGAGGCCGCGGCCGCGGACCACGCCGACGAGCTCGACGCGCTCGAGCGGGAGACGCGCGAGCAGACCGCGCTCTCGTCGTCGCGGCGGCCCGCGCGCAAGGGCAAGGGGCCCAAGGTGCCCGTGCGCGCGCCCGTGCCGCCGGCGTCGACGCCGCCGCCGCCGGGGCGGGCGCCGAGCCCGCGCGACCCGCCGGCCGCCGCGCTCGGCGCGTCGCCCGTGCCCTCGGCCGCGTCGCCGGCGCCCCTGGCCACGCCCGCGCCGCGGACCGCGTCGCCGCCGCCGCCGGCCGCGCCGTCGCCGCCGGGGCCGGCGCGCGCGAACGAGGCGCCGCCGCTCGCGCTCATGGGCGGCGAGGACTCGAGCTCCGGCGAGGAGGAGGAGATGGACGGCGGCGCCGTGTAGAGGGCGGGTAAGCTGGGATACGCCGGGACCCGCACGGACGAGTGGTCCGTGAGAGGCGTCGTGCCACTGATCAGGAGGCGCTGAGCATCACCTGAGTCAGGAGTGCGCAGTTCTCGGTCGATCCGTCTCTCTGTCTCCAAAAAATTGCGATGCGTGTCGCCGTGCGCCTCCTGGTCGGCGCCGCTGTGTGCTTCCTTGCCCCCGCCCGCGCCGCCGTCGACAGCGTGCTCTGCCCCGGCCAAAACGAGGGCGACCGCTGCTACTGCGGGGCGGAGGCGTCCGGTGAGAACGACTGCACGGCGAACCCGTCGCTCTGCGAATGCGCCGAGGCCCGGGCCTGCTGCGCGGGCGAGGCCTGGGACAACGTCGTCTGGTCCACCCCCGCCTACGCGCCCCCCCCGCTCCGCGGCGGCGCGTTCACCGACGTCGACGGCGCGGTGAAACTCGTCGTCGCGACCGTTGACGGCGCGCTTGACGTCTGGGGCGGCGCGGACGACGCCGCCGCCGCGACGCTCGAGGCGTCGACCGGCGCCCTCGAGTTTGCGTGCTCGCTTACGGTCGACGAGCTCAAGCTCGCGGCGACGCCGCGGAAGTTCCTCGTCGCCGTCGCGGCCGCGGGTTGCGCCGGCGACCCCATCGCGGTCTTCGACCCCGCGAGCGGCGCGCGGCTGACCACGGCCCTCGACGGCGCCGCGGCGGGCTTCGCTTCGGCGTCGTCCGTGTCGCAGCCCGAGCCCGGCTTCCTCTACGCGCACGGCGTCGACGGCGGCGACGCCGCCGCGCTCGTCGACGTCGGCGGCGCGCTCGACGGCGGCGCGGCGGCGGCCTTCCGGGCCGTCTGCGACCCGCCGACCTTCGCCCTGGGCGGCTTCCCCGCGGGGTCCCGGGGCACCTTCGGCGTCTTCAACCAGACCGACGCGGACGGCGCCGTGAAGCGCTACGCGATTGTTTCGCTCGTCGCGGACGACGCGCGCGCCAAGGCGGCCTTCGCGCTGCTCCTCCCCCTCGACGGCGACGGCTGCCCCGGCACCGTCGAGGCGCCCCTCGTGCTGCCCTTCGGGACGCTCGACGACGGCAACTTCGACGCCGACGGGCCGAGCCTCGACGCCTACGGCAAACTCCCCGCGGCGCTCGGCCTCGCCGTCGCCGGCGCCGCGCCGGCCTTCGGCCTCTCCGCGGAGGTCTTCGCCCTCCTGGCGACGTGCCCCGCGGGCACGCCCTTCGACGCGCAGCGCGCGGTCGCGACGCACCCGACGGGCAACTTCGTCTACTCGAGCCCCGGCGTCCGCGCGGCGGGCTGCCCCTACGTCGTCCACGCCTACGACGTCTCGGGGCTGCGGTCCGTCGCGAACGACGACTTCCCCCTCGCGCTGGACCCGGCCGTGGGCATGGTCAACTACGCGGGGTCCTTCGAGATCCCGGAGGACGTCGTGCCCGTCGGCGCGGCCGCGGCATCGGGCGCCTGGCGCTGGGAGGGCCAGCACGTCGCCGTGCTCGCCGGCGGCGGCGCCGGCGCCCTCTTCCTCGACTTCACGGACGACCCGCTGGCGCCGGCGATCGTCGCCCACGCGACCGCGGGCGGATCCGCGGCGGCCGCGTCGCTCGGCGACGACGACGCGTACTACGTCCGCGTGGCCACGCCGGCCGGCGACCGCTTCGACGCCGTCAAGAACATGCCGACGACGACGACGACGCGGCCGCCGGCGACGACGACGGCATCGGCGACGACGCCCGACGCGGAGCGCGAGTGCTCCGAGCTCGTCAAGGGCCTCGAGGGCAAGGCCATGAAGCAGGGCAAGTGCGGCCTCCACGACCACTGCGTCTGGCGCAAGAACCGCTGCATCGACAAGAGCCTGAAAAACAAGCAGGCCTGCCACAAGCTCAAAAAGCCCACGAAGAAGAAGCTCAAGAAGAGCTGCAAGAAGAAGGCCTACTGCAAGTGGAAGAAGAAAACGTGCGACTACAAGTAGGCGCGACCCCCCGGGGCCCCGCGGCGAATAAGCGCACCGCGCGTCATCGGCAGGCGGGCGGCTTCGCGTAGTCGGCGAAGCAGGCGTAGTCCGTGCGCAGGAGGTCGCAGACGTCGCGCGCCGCGGCGTCGGAGACGACGAGGCCGGCCTGCAGGCGCCGCTTGCACGGGCTCCCCCGCGCCGAGGCGTGCCGGACGCCGCCGCGCGTCGTGTTCGCGGCGGCGGGCACCAGTGCCGCGCAACCAAAATCTGATCAGCAGGCGCGCAGGGTGCCATTTAAACGCTAAGTGACGCGATCGACGTCGATTCGTACGCGGAAAGTACCCATAGGCGCGTCCGTGGTGTGTTTGAGGCGGACGTCGTCCAAGTTCGGCGGTGGAATCGGCTCCGGCCGCGCGGTCGTCGCGCGACGCGCGCGGCGCGCGAGCGCCCGAAACCTCACGGGAGGCGTAACTGCGGGAGAAGTAGACGAATCTTGACGGGGACTTTTGCGCCGGGGAACGTGACAGGACCGCCTGCGTGTGCAATCGAAGCCTCGGCCCGTGGCGTCGTGTGCAAAAATGCACAGAGATCCCCGGTTTGGGCATTGAAGGCAACTTTCCGGGCTCTCGGAGACGCTCTCAGACGCCGCGATGACCGTGAGGCTGTCGAGACGGGTTCGGACAACCTCGATCTGGCGTCGCAACCCGCTCTGAAGCTCTGGCGAGGCCTTGCCGCGTCTCCGCTGCCGGGCACGCGGCCACGGCGAGGTTTTCTGCGTCGCCCCGTGCTGCGGAACCGGTCGCGCTGCGGGATTGTGTGCGGAGACGTCGGTTTTGCGTTGGAGAGTCGGGGTGCGACGAGCCAGATGCCTCCGAGTTGATCGGGCGGGTGGTCGAAGCTGTCGAAGGCGTTGCCGGTACGAAGCGGCGTGCCGACGAGGCCCTGGGTCCGAATTTCTTCGAGATCACCCGATAAAGTCCCGAAAACGCCTTGTCATGGGCTGTCGCGGAGCGAGCACCTCAAACCGATCGACGCCGCTGCGTCCGGCAGGCTGTATCATCACCACGGACCACATCTGCAGCGTCACTGTCCTCGCGCACAAGCTTAAGACGCCCGTAACGCACCGAACCCGTTCGCGGCTCGCTGCGGCCATGCGCGCTACCGCGGCCACCACCGCACGCCATGGGCATATCGGGACGTTCGAGTGGCGTGGCCCGTCTCGCGCTGTCCGTGTGCGACTCCTCGGCCGCTTAAAGCGCGTAAAACGAGCGGGAGTGTCGCGCTCAAAGTTAAATGTCCGGTCTTGTTCCTACTGATCTAATTTTGGTTGCGCGATCGCGTCGCCGGCGGTCTCGAGCGCGAAGATGAAGCGCAGGCCGCCGCAGCCGGGCGGCGCCGCGTCGACGCGGTGCGCCTGCCTGGGCGGGAACAGGGTGATTCGACGTGAGCGTTCCAGAAACAAGCGTCCACGCTTCGAGCACGCTCCGAGGGATGATCGCTCGTCCAAAAAACAGCCGAAACGAGTGGGAATCGGCCGAGCTCGGCGCCTTTGAAGTCGGGAACGTCGCGCCCCGTTCCCGCCCCGGCGCCCGCGGCCAGCCGTGGATGAAGAGGCGCGACATGCGCGCGCCCCGCCGGACGTCGGCGACGTACTGCTCGAAGAGCCGCGTCGCGTTGTCGTGCGACATGGTCATCGACGGCCCCTCGCCCGAGCGCGGCGGCGCCGCGAAGGCGGCGAACTCGGGCTTGCGGTTGCCGGCGAACGTGCCCCGGCCGTCGCGCTCCACGCACATCGCCTCGAGGAACGCGGACGCGAAGGACTCGAAGGGGTCGCGGACGACGGTGAAGACGGCGGGCGGCGGCGCGCGCGCGTCGCAGCCCAGGGCCGCGGACCGCGGGTCGCGGCTCGCCTCGCGCTCGAAGCGGGCGTTGGCGAACCAGGCCGCCGCCGGGTCCGCGTTGCGGAACTTTTGGTAGTACCAGCGCGCGCCGGGGCCGCCGAGGAGCGACTCGACGAAGTGCGTGCCCGACTTCTGGTTCTTGACGTAGACGGCGCCCCCCGCCGACAGGAGCTTCTGCGCCGTCCAGCTCGGCGCCGAGCGGCCGAAGCCCGCGGTCATCGCCTCGTACTTGCGGTATTCCGCGCGGGGGCGGTCGCAGCGGGCGTATCTCTCGGCGCGCTCGCGGCCTTCCCGCAGCAGGTCCGTCGCGCCGACGACCCCGGCGAGGCACAGGCATATGGTCACCATGGCAGGCAGCCCCGAGAGGCAAGGCACTGACTTACGCCGTCACCATGCGCGGCCCGCGTCGACAGGCAGGCAGCCCCGAGAGGCAAGGCACGGACTCACGCCGTCACCATGCGCGGCCCGCGTCGACAAGCGTATCCAACACTGCTAGCGACAAAAGAGTTACGCTGTCACCATGCGCGGCCCGCGTCGACAAGCGTATCCATAAGGGGTCGAGAAGGCAGCGGGGCTGCCCAAGTGCTGCCCTTCAAGCTTTTGGGGCGCAAGTAGCGAGCGCAGACCTGTTGCCACAAGATATCTGGGGACGCATTGCATGATCGTCGACGCGTCTCGCAGTCGACGTCGCGCTCTCCGATCCGCCGGCGCCGGCGACCGTCGACCGCCGTCGCCGCTCGCGCCCGCCGCCCGCTCCGGTAGCCGCGCGACCCCCGCGGCCGGACGCCGCCGCGCGCCGCGAGCTCCGCGAGCTCCGGCTCCACGCGCGCCTCTAAACCGCCGCGGCGCGCGACGCCCGCCATGCCCAAGTCCGAGGGCAAGCCCCTGCTCGGCGACGAGGAGCAGGCCCTGAGCCGCGAGGAGCAGCAGGAGGCGGACATCCGGTACGCCATGGCGACGCCGCCCGAGGGCCTGACCGAGGCCGAGGCGGCGGCGCGGCTCGAGCGCTTCGGGCTCAACCTGCTCGAGGAGGTGAAGCGCAACGAGCTCCTCGTCTTCCTGAGCTTCTTCTGGGGCCCCATGCCCGTCATGATCTGGCTCGCGACCATCGTCGTCGCCTTCGAGGAGGACTGGGACGACTTCGCGGTGCTGCTGACGCTCCAGATGGTCAACGGCGTCGTCGGCTACTTCGAGGAGAAGTCCGCGGGCGACGCCATCGAGGCGCTGAAGCAGTCCCTGGCGCCCAAGGCGTCGGTGAAGCGGGGCAACGTCTTCCGGAGTCTGGAGGCGAAGCTCCTCGTGCCCGGCGACGTCGTCAACCTCAAGCTCGGCGACATCGTGCCCGCGGACTGCAAGTTGAGGGAGGGCAAGGCCCTCGAGGTGGACCAGGCGGCGCTGACGGGCGAGTCGCTGCCCGTGACGCGCGGCGCCGGCGACACGGTCTTCATGGGGTCCGTGATCCGCCGCGGCGAGCTCGAGGCCGTCGTCTGCTTCACGGGCGGCCGCACGTTCTTCGGCCGCGCCGCGGAGATGGTGAACCGGGCCGCGGGCGAGCAGCAGGGGCGCTTCGCCAAGGTCATGTTCCAGAACACGATGCTCCTCTTCATCCTCTCCGTGTCGCTCTGCACGGTCATCTTCGTCGAGGTCTACGACTCGGGCCTCGACTTCCTCGAGTCGCTGTCGACGGTCGTCGTGATCCTCGTCGCCTGCATCCCCATCGCCATGCAGATCGTGTCGACGACGGTCATGGCCGTCGGCGGCCGGTCCCTCGCGGAGAAGAAGGCGATTTTGGCGCGGCTCTCGGCGATCGAGGAGCTCGCGGGCATGGACATTTTGTGCAGCGACAAGACGGGCACGCTGACCCAGAACAAGCTCCAGCTCTTCGACCCCGTGCTCATCGACCCGGACGTCGACGCCAACGAGCTCGTCTTCCTCGGCGCGCTCGCGGCGAAGCGCATGGCGTCCGGCGCGGACGCGATCGACACGGTCATCGTCGCGTCCGTCGCCGAGAAGGACCGCCCGCGCCTCGAGGAATATAGCGAGCTCGAGTTCACGCCCTTCGACCCCGTGCTCAAGCGCACGGAGGCGCGCGTCGCCGGCGCCGACGGCCGCGAGATGCGCGTCACGAAGGGCGCGACGAAGGTCGTGCTCGACCTCTGCTCCGACAAGCACGCCGTCGGCGACGCCGTCATGAAGGCCAACGACGGCCTCGCGAGCCGCGGCTTCCGGTCCCTGGGCGTCGCCGTCGCGCGCGGCGGCGCGACGGCGGAGTGGCGCTTCGCGGGCGTGCTCAGCCTCTTCGACCCGCCGCGCGTGGACACGAAGGAGACGCTCGAGCGCGCGCGGGGCATGGGCATCACGGTGAAGATGGTCACGGGCGACCAGACGGCCATCGCCGTGGAGACGTCCCGGGCCATCTCGCTCTCGGCGAAGGCGACGCCTTTAATCCTCGACATGAAGGAGTTCTCCGCGGCCGACGCCAAGTCCGCGGCGGCGGCGACCGCGCTCTCTCCTCCAGCTCGCGGGCCACACGGTCGGCATGACGGGCGACGGCGTCAACGACGCGCCCGCGCTCAAGAAGGCGCAGATCGGCATCGCCGTCGAGGGCGCCACGGACGCGGCGCGCGCCGCGGCGGACATCGTGCTCACGGAGCCGGGCCTGTCCGTCATCATCGACGCCATGCTCACGGCGCGGTGCATCTTCGCGCGCGTCCGCAACTACGTCATCTACCGCATCGCGTGCACGCTCCAGCTCGTCTGCTTCTTCTTCCTCGCCTGCCTCGTCTTCCGCCCGCGCAACTTCTACTGCTACGAGGACAGCGGTTCCCAGGCCATATCCGGGTCCTACTTTTCCGACTGCGCGCTCGACGACTTGGACGACGGCGGCGGCTGCCACGACTACGAGGAGGACGGCTGCGCCTACCCCTACTACTACGACAGCGCCAAGTACAGCTTCTGCATCCCCGTGCTCGGCATCGTCATCATCACCATCCTCAACGACGGCTGCATGCTCACGATCGCGCGCGACCACGTGCTCCCGGCGGCGACGCCGCAGAACTGGGACCTGAACCAGCTGCGCATCATCGCCTGCGTCCTGGGCTGCGTGCCGTTGGCGTCGTCGCTCATCCTGCTCTACATGGGCCTGTCGTCCGCCGACGGCCTCTACCCGCCCTACGCGTTCCTCTTCGGCCGCAAGGTCCCCGCGGCGTACCAGAACGCCGAGGACGACCGCTACTACCTGCCCTACCCGGAGCTCACGATGATGATGTACCTGAAGATTTCGATTTCGGACTTCCTGACGCTCTTCGCGAGCCGCACGCGCGGGCCCTTCTGGTCGCGCGCGCCGTCCTTACCGCTCGCCGCCGCGTTCCTCGTGGCGACGATCACGGCGACGCTCATCGCGGCCTACGCGAACCTGCCGGACAACACGTACCCCATGGACGCCATCTCCTCGGCGGCCTGCGCCTTCGTCTGGTTCTGGAACATTGGCTTCTTCGTCGTCCAGGACACGGCGAAGATCGTCCTCTACAAGATCTTCGACCACTACAACTACGCGGCGGAAGACGGCGCCGCGGCGCCGGCCAAGGCGCCGCCCGCCGCCGTCCCCTTCAAGGCCTAGGCCGGGCGCGCGACGCCCCAGTTTTCCCCCGCCACCGAATTCCGACCCAAAGCGCCGCCCTCGGCGGCGGCCGCGCGGCCGCCGCCTCGACGGGCCCACCGCGGCGCACGACTAACGCGCGCCGCCCCGACCATCGCCCGGCAGGGGCCCGGGCCGCCGCCGGGCGAGGCGCGTCCCGTCGCCGCGGTCCCCGGCGAGCGGCCCCCGGGGGGTTTGCAATTGGCCGGGCCCGCGCGTGCGACGCGGCCGCCGCGCGCGCGACCCGCCTCACACGCGGCCTCCATCGCGCGGGGGGCGCCGCCGCGCCCGCGGACAGACAGGTCTTTTAGCGGCGCGGGGGGGGGCACGCCCATGTACATCCCCGGGCGCCGACGTCACGGTCGCGGGCGGCCCAGGTCGGGGCCGGGACACGGTGGAGGGGCGGTGGATTTGGGGCGTCGTCGTCGCCCGCCGCCGCGCTGGACGCGGCGGCGGGGCGCGCGGCGGCTCGGAGGCGCCTAGGCCTTCTCCGCGAGCGCGACGGCCTCCGGGTCCGTCTCGGGCTTGCCGTCGACGATGGCCGTGGCCGGGGCCGCCGCGCCGTTCGTCTGGGCGGCCATCCAGCCGTCCTTGTTGATGAGCCAGAAGGGGAAGACGAGGAACCAGGCGCCGACGATGGAGCCGAGGGTCACGGGCACGAAGTTGAACCAGAACGCGTTGCCCCAGTTGCAGCGGTCGTCGTAGTACTTGCCGCCGACCATGATGCCCGCGGGGATGAGGAACTCGTTGACGACGAGGTGGTCGAAGCCGGACGAGATGAAGAGCTCGATGGGGAGCCAGATCATGATGAACTTGGAGATGGGCTCCGTCGCGATCATCTGGAGCCAGATCGCGAGGCAGACCATCCAGTTGCAGCCCGCGCCGCGGATGATGGACGTCGTGAAGTGGGCCGTGCACTTGGCGCGGCAGACCTTGACGACCTTGCAGAGGTTGGCCATGCCGTAGTTGGAGCGGGAGCAGAGGTCGCCGTTCATGTCGTCGCGGAAGTCCTGGTTCGACTTGTACCACAGCACCTGGTCGTGCTCGAGCGAGTCCGTCGGGTCGCTGTAGAGCTCGCCGTCGATGCGCACGGACTTGATGAGGCCCGTGGACCAGGCGAACATGACGAAGTGGAGCACGGCGCCGAGCAGGTTCGACCACCAGCAGAAGAACCAGTTCCCGAGGAGGCCCTTGATCTGCCGCGGGCGGTCCTCGGGGTCGGCGGCGAGCACGGCGAAGGAGCAGAACATGTAGTTGGCCGTGATGAGCTCCGCGCCCTGGCACATGACGATGAAGGTGAGGCCGAAGGGGATGCCGAAGCCCGCGAAGACGAAGTTGTTGACGCCCGTCGAGCTGCCCCAGCGGCCGCCGACCTGGCAGGACATGAGCACGCCGAAGGACAGCAGGAGGCCCGCCTGCACGGACAGGAGGATCGTCATCATGGGCTTCTTGAGCATGCGCTCGTGGATGGTCTCGCCGACGCAGATGACGAAGCCCATGACCTCGGGCTGCGTGTTGAAGACGCGCTTCACGTTCACGTACTTGTTCTCGTAGGCCACGGGGCGGGGCTGCGTGTGGGCGTTGGAGTGGCAGAGGACATTGTGGGCGACCATGGTGCTCGAGGCTGTTGCGCGCAGCTGGTAACCTTCGTCGGGGGTGTCGGCCAACAAATTTGGGATTACAGCAGTTGCCTTTCGGCGGCCACCTAAGCGCTGTGAAGTGCCTTAGGGGAGATGGATGTTCAACCTGGGGCTCCCACGTTTACTTCGCCAACGCAAACCTAGGCACGTCATCGAGCGAAGGGCAGCCGCGAGTTCACTACTCGAAGTCGGGCTGCCTTCGAACAATTCCGTGGACTCGGGCGCGGAAGCATAACCATGAGCGCCGCGCTCACCGCCATGTTCGACCGGCAGGGCATGGACGACAGCCGCCACAGCGTGCGGTCCGTGGAGAGCACGTCGGACAACTTCTACAGCACGGCGCCCTGGGAGGCCATCGCCCCGGCGGCGACGCCCGCCAAGGGCCCCACGGGGACGCTGCGCGTCATCGGGCGCAACTCCGTGAACGTGAACATGGCCATGGCGGAGCTGCTCAACAGCCACGGCTGCGTCGTCGAGCACAGCGAGCAGCACCGCGACCTCGGCGTGGGCTGCTACTTCCAGCGCGTCGAGTTCAAGTACGGCACGATGCGGAAGACGGGCGAGCAGCTCGAGGCGTCGCTCCACGAGGTCTGCGGGCGCCTGGGCCTCGAGTTCCAGCTGAGCTGGGGCACGCGGCCGAAGCGGCTCTGCATCTTCGTCTCCAAGTACGACCACGTGCTCTGGGAGATCCTGCTCCGGCACAAGGCGGGCGAGCTCGAGTGCGACATCCCGCTCATCGTGTCGAACCACGAGGACCTGCGGCCCATCGCCGACGCCTTCGGGATCCGCTTCGAGGTCTTCAAGATCACCAAGGACACGAAGCGCGCCCAGGAGGACCTGGAGATCGCGCTCTGCCGCGAGCTCGACGTCGACATCGTCGTCCTCGCGCGCTACATGCAGATCATGTCCGACGAGTTCTGCGACGCCTTCACGCACAAGTGCATCAACATCCACCACTCCTTCCTCCCCGCCTTCATCGGCTCCAAGCCCTACCACCGCGCGTTCGACCGCGGCGTCAAGCTCATCGGCGCGACGGCGCACTACGCGACGGCGAACCTCGACGAGGGGCCCATCATCGAGCAGGACGTCGAGCGCGTCAGCCACCGCGACTCCGTCGACGACCTCCTCCGCAAGGGCCGGGGCGTCGAGCGCCGCACGCTCATGGTCGCGCTCCGCGCGCACCTCGAGGACCGCATCATCGTCTACGGCAACAAGACCGTCGTCTTCGCCGACTAGTTCGCCCGCGCCGCCCCCGCCGCAATCCCGCGCCGCAATCCCCCGCGTCGAGCATAAGCGTGGGACCGTCGCCCCGCTCTGCGGCGGCGCGCCCTAGGAGATGGCGAGGGGCGCGTCGTCGTCGTCGCCGCCCGGGAGCTTCGGGTAGACGCGCTTGTAGAGCGTCAGGAGGATCGTGTCGTTCTGCTTCATGGGCTTGGAGAGCGCGACCTTGAAGTGGCCGTGCGTGCCGATGGGCTCGGTGATGTGGCACGTGAGGCCGTGCTTCGTCGTGAGCGCCGCGGGCTTGAAGTAGAGCACGTCGCGCGGGTTGTAGAACATCTGCTTGACGACGGCCTTGCGCTTGTGCGTCCGCGCGGGCAGCCCCGTGAGCACCGCGCGCTTCAGCGTGACGCGGTTCGGGTCGCAGTCGAGCGCGGCGCCGGCGGCGACGACCTCGCCCGTCGCGCGCCGGAGGAAGACGGGCGCGGGCCCGAAGGTCAGGGGCCCGAAGACGGAGCACACGAAGTGGTCGCCGCGGCGCAGGAACCGCTCGTACTTGGCCTTGGCGCCCTTGAGCGCGTGCGTCGAGAAGACGGGCCGGCACGGCCAGCTCCGGTGGCCGCAGGTCACGGTCAGGAGCTCCTTGGACGCGAGGGGCTCCTCGTCGACGTCGTCGGCGGCGGACGCGCCCGCGCCGAGGGACACGCGCTTGACGAGGAAGTGCGCGACCGTGAGCCGGTTCTCGTGCGCGAGGAGCTGGCTCGCGGCCGGCGATTCCGCGTCCGGCGGCGGCGCGCCGGGCGCGACCTCGAGGACCACGCGCACGTAGGCGCCGACGGCCGCGCCGCCGGGCGCGTCCGCGGCGTCGAACGCGCGCCGCCGCGCGGCGTCGTAGCGCGCGAGCGCGTGGACCTTGGCGTAGGACCGCGGCAGCGAGTCGTAGACGTCCCAGTCGCTCGCGGCGAAGGACGGCAGCGCGCGGTAGCGCGCGAAGCGGTCCCGCGCGTTCGCGTCCTCGGCGACGTCGACCTCGTCGGGGAACTCGAGCTCCTCGTCGAACGCCGCGGCCTTGGCGTCGTCGACGGCCATGGCGTCGTCGCCGTCGCCGTCGTCGTCGCCGTCGCCGTCGTCGGGCACGTCCCAGGCCTTGAAGTAGTCGGCGTCCGTCTCCGGCGCGGGCTCGGGCGCGCGCGCGGTCTCGTCGGCCGACGGCCAGGTCTGCTCGCCGTTGTTGAGGAAGTCGTCCGCGTTCGCCGTCTCGAGGGGTTCGGCGCAGTCGCCCGCGAGCACGGCGTCGGGGCGCCCCGTCGTGTCGCTCGTGCGGAAGACGGCGATCTCCGCGATGCGCGCCGCGCCCGAGCCCCGGACGTGGAGGAGGCGCGATTTCGAGAGCGGCGCGTCGCGGACCCAGCCCTCGAGCACGAGCCCCCCCGGTTCGGGCCGCATCGCGGCGACCTCGAGGCGCGCGCGCCGCGCGCGCCACTGGGGCGTCTTCGGCGGCAGCGCGGCCACGGCCGCGGCGACGCCGCCGGCGCCGGCGTCGACCCAGGGCACGGCGTCGCCGAATTCCGCTCCGAAAAAGCGGCGCGCGAGGCTCTCGCGCTTCCGCTGCGCCTTGCCCGACCAGGGCGCGTCGCCGTCCGGCGGCGCCAGCACGCCCAGCACGGCGGGCAGGCCCGCGGCCTTGAGCGCCGCGACCGCGTCGCGCGCCTCGGGCGAGCACGCCTCCAGTTGCGCGACGCCCGCGGTCGTCGCGCGCGAGCGGCCGTCGTCGTCGTCCATGGCTTCCGCGGCGCCGTCGTCGTCGAGGGCCGTGGGGCACATGACGAAGACCACGACGTCGGCGCGCGCCGCGGCGTCGAGCGCGCCGGCGACGTCGCCGTGGCCGACGCGCGCCGCGCGGCCCGGCAAACTCGCCGCGACCGCCGCGCCGTCGCACGCGGCGCCGAGGGGCACGACGGCGACGTTCAGGGGCGCGTCGCCGCCGCGGTGCAGGCCCCGGCGGTCCGCGGCGAGCTCGTCGCGCTTGGACTGGCGCAGCTGCTTCGCGCGCTGGAGCCGCTTCTCCTTGGCCCCGGCGGCGTTGCCCGCCTTCTTCCCGGGGCCGAGGCGCTCGACGCGGCCGGCGCCGGCCGCGCGCTTCGTCGCCCGCTTCGACGACGACTTGTGCGACTTGTTCTTCTGCTTCAGGCCGCTGGAGGCGCGGTGGTGGTGGGCGTCGGCCATCCTTAGCTGTGGACCTTCGATCGGCACCGCATCGCCGAGACGATGTTGGCGTACAACATCATGTCAACATGAACCTCACGTCGGCAGGCTATGGGTGTGCGCTCGCGCCCCCTTCCGCGCCGCCGCGGCCGCCGAGAACCGGGTGCACATACGTACGTGGCTAGGCATGCGGCGCGGCGGCGGGCGTCCATCCTTGGGTGTGGGGCGTCAACAACAGGTCAGCTCCGGCGGCGATGGCGCGGCGCGCGCGGCGGCGGCGGCGGCCGGGGCCCCGGGGGGCTCCGACGGCGGTCCGGCGGCGGCGGCGCTGGCGGCGGCGGCTTTCTTGGCGGGGGCGGCGGCGGGCCCCCCGGTTCGTGGCCACCTAGTGGTTGTGGCCCGCGTGCGGGTCGTCGCCGTCGCCCGAGTCGCCCTTGGGCGTGCAGTGCTCGTGGTCGAGGAGGACGAGGCCGATGCCGACGGCGCCCGTGACGAAGAAGAGGAAGACGAGGACGCGCTGGGCGGCGGAGAACTTGTGGGCGTTGTGGACCGCGTGGACCGCGGCCTCGGTGCAGGCGACGTAGAGGTAGACGCCCGCGGAGAAGGCGAGCACGAGGCCCTTGGTGCCGGAGCCGGGCTCCGTGGCGAGGTAGATGGCGCCGCCGATCATCACCGAAAGGCCCGACGCGAAGTTGACGACGCAGGCCATGACGACGGAGAGGCCGCCGGGGCCGATGAGGAGGAAGAAGTCGGCGAACTCCTGGACGAGCTCGTGGTAGATCGTCGCCGCGGTGACGATCCAGCCGCGGTCCGTCGTGCAGTCCATGAACGCGCCGGCGATGAAGATGCCGTCGACGAAGTTGTGGAGGAAGTCGCCGAAGAAGATGTTGAAGCAGAACGCGTAGTCGACGGACTTGCCGTACTCGGACTCGAGGCCCACCTCCTCGGCGGCGACGGCGTCCTTGGACACGAGCTCCGCGCTCTTCTCGCTGGACCCGCCGCCGCCCGCGAACCAGCCGCCGGCGCCGCCGGACGTGTGGGGGAACGCGACGTTGAGGATCATGCCGACGGAGTAGCCCGCGAGGAGCATGGTGCCGAAGCGCCACGTCATCTGCGTCTCCTCGGCCCAGCGGGCCATGATGTAGTGGCTCGACTCGACCATCATGAGGAACGCCGCGCAGCCGAGGATCGCGCCGACGGCGAGCGCCGACGAGTACGCGATGATCGTGTCCGTGCGGAGCGCCTGGATGTTCTTGAAGGGCAGGCGGCCGAGGATGCCGATGAAGGTGCAGAGCAGCACGATGAACGTGCCGAGCATCGTGTTGCGCCACGTGCGCTCGTTGACGGTGCTGTCGTCGTCGTCGTCGTCCTCGTCGCCGCCGCCGAGCTCCGCCGCGGGCTCGATGTCCTCGCCGTGGTCGTCCTTGAGGTAGTGCATCGTGTCCTCGAACTCGACGGGCACGTGCTGGGTGAAGAACGCGAAGTAGCCCATGTCGGCGTCGCCGTGGTCGTGGCCGTCGTGGTCCTCGAGGCGGCGCTCCGCGGGCACGGGCACGTAGTAGAGCGACGTGGAGATGTCCTGCTGGAAGACGAGCTTGTAGCACGCGCCGAAGCCGATGGACCCGCCGAACGCGACGTCCTCGCAGTCGCCCTCGAGGAGCGCGGCGGCCTCGTCGACGACGAGCTCGAGGTCCGCCTGCGTGCCGCCGGCGACCTCCATGGCGACGATGGTCATGGTCTCGTCGGCGTAGTCGCCGTCGACCTTCTGGGCGATCCACGTGTACGACTCGCCGTGCTCGAGCTCGAACGTGCCGGCCCACTCGTAGGCCTCGCCGCCCCCGTGGTCGTGCGCGTGGCCGTCGGCGCCCTCCTCGGCGATGGGCTCGACGTCCTCGCCGTCGAGCTGGAGGTAGTGCGTGTCCTCCTCGAACTCGATGGGCACGTGCTGCGTGTACATGGCGACGCAGGAGTGGTCGTGGTCCTCGAGGCGGCGGCGGCGGTGGTCGACCTCGATGGTCCACGTGCTCGTGTCCACGTCCTGGTCGAAGATGAGCGTGTAGCAGGTGCCGATCTTGATGGTGCCGCCGTTGGTGAGGTCGGCGCAGTCGCCCGTGAGGGCGGCCTCGCCGTCGGCCTCCTTGCCCTCGAGGCCGGCCTCGTCGCACGAGTCGGCCTCGAGCGCGACGAACGTCATCGTCTCGTCGGCGTACGCGCCGTCGACCTTCTGGGCGATCCAGGTATGGTCCGCGTGCTCCATCTCGAAGATGCCGGCCCACTCGAACGCGCCTATGTTTGCGCGATCGTGTTTGCGCGGTTGGCGTTGTGGGGTCATGTTTGCGCGTTTGAGCGCCGAGCGGCTGGCTCCGAGCGAAACGCGCCGCGCGCGAGGCCCCCCGGCGAAGGCGCAGCCGCGCGGGTGGCGCGCGAGGGCGGGCGGGGCGTGGGAGGTGATAAGGCGGGTGCGCGCCATGCGGCGATGCGCGCGCGCGCGCGATCTCGCGTCGGATCGCCGACTCGGGGGTCGTGCCGTGGGCAGGCGCCAGCGCGGCGACGGCGATGAGCGACTTGAGCATGATGTACGGGTCGTGTGCGACAAGCTTTTAGCGTATTAGGACAGCTTGGCAACCTGTGTTTTTGTGGCTGATTCTGCGAGCCAGTTCAGCCACGCTGCAAGGTCAGGACGGCATCGACGGCTTCTTGCCGTCGAATGAGGTGCGCGAGTCGAGGCGCGCGAGGAGGCAACTATCGAAGTTTACCCGTCGAGGCCGGGCGGCGGCGCGACCGTCGTCGGCACCGCGTCCATGGGGACGGCGGCGGGCGCCGGCGGGGCCGGCGCGGCCTCGGGCCTCAGCTTCGCCGCGCGGTAGCTCTCGACGTCGTCGTCGTCGTCGGACTGGTCCATGGAGACCTTGACCCAGCCGTCCGCGCGCTCGCGCCCGGCCGCGCACTCAGGCTGGCACGCCTCCCACGCGCCGCGGCGGCCACGCCTCCCACCGCCGAACACTGGCAAGATCTAGGACCACACACTTCCCACCCGCCTTCACGAGCCAGCACTTCGCCGACACTGTTGAGAGACAGGTCGTGGACGGCGTCGAGAGGCGTCGGCGCGACGCGACTGGCGGTGGCCGCTCCTCGATCGAGTCGCGCAGGAAAACGGGCACGGAGAGCGCTGCCGCCGAGCCCTGGCCCCGAGCGCCGCCGCCGAGCGCTGCCGCGACGCGAAGCCGCCGCCGAGCGCTGCCGCCGCGCGAAGCGGTCGGCCGCGAAGCCGTCCGCGCGCGAAGCCGTCGGCCGCGAAGCCGTCCGCCGCGCACCACCGCCGCGCACCACCGGCGAGCACCGCCGCCGCGCACCTACCGCCTTAGCGCTGCCGCCGCGCGCGAAGCCGTCCGCCGCGCACCACTGCCGCGCTCCCGCCGGCGCGAGCACGCGCGCAGCGACGGGATGATCGCCGCGCGGGCCTTCTACGCGGAGTTCGACGACGTCAAGGGTCCCGTGGTCGTCTACGACGAGCCGCCGACGACGTTCACGGCCGACGAGGAGGGCCGGCGCGTCTGGGAGACCTTCAGCGACTACGTGATCACGGGCCACGACCTGCTCGACGGCCTCGTCGTGCAGGTTCGCGCGGGCCGCGACGGCGTGCTCTGCGTGCCCGTGGTCTGCAGCGACGAGCGCAAGTACGCGCGCAACGCGCTGCTCTTCAGCCTCGGCGTGTCCGTCGCGGGCGACCGGCTGCCCGCGGCGTCGGCGGCGTGCGCGTCCGCCGCGCGGCGCCTCGCGGAGACCCGCGCGGAAAGCTCCCACCCGACTTCGACGTGAGCGCGTGCGACGACGCGAGCTCTTCGGCTGCGCTTCGAGAACTCGACGAGAACAATCGATTCGTCCCCGAATCAGCCGAATCGACGTCGATTCGACCGAGCGAGAGAATTTCAAAGTTTGGTCGGGACGTCCCAAACCGGCGGTTGATTCGCGCCGTCCTCCTCGTCCGAGCACTCACCGCTCGCGTCGCTGTGCACGCATCGCAGTCCTATTCCTACACACACCGTGTGCATGCGCCGCGCGCTCGCGGCCGCGCTCGTCCCCTGGAAAACAATGGCGACCTTTGCAACCTCAGGCGGAGACGCTGCGCGCCATGGAGGCGGAGCGCGCGCTGCCGCAGAGCGGCGACACGGCGGAGGCGCGGCGGCGGCGCCTCGCGCGCGTCGTGCCCGGCGTGCTCCGCGACCTGCGGGCCGCGGCCGAGGCCGCGCGCGGCGCGCGCGACGCCGCGGCGCCCGAGGCCGCGGACGAGGCCGACGACGGCGACGCGAACGCGCTCTGCCTGCGGCGGCCCTGGCTGCGGCGGCGCGACGGCGCGCGGGAGACGGCGCCGCGCGGGCCGCCGGCGGCCGTCGAGCCGTGGCAGGTGCCCGTGCTCCTCGCGCGGCCCAAGGACCTCCTGTCGCTGAGCGGGCCCGCGGGCCGCGCGTCGAGCCACTTCGTCGGCGACGACGCCTGGGACCTCGCCGTGCAGCAGGTCATCCCCCACGTCGACGGCGTCCGCGACGCGAAGCAGGTCGCGCGCGCGGCGCACGTCGACGTCGACGTCGTCGCGCGGAGCCTCCGGGTCCCGCGCCGCGCGCGACTCACGTCTTCGACCCGGCTTCAACGCGAGCGCATGTGCGCTTCGAGCACTCGACGAGAACGCTCGAGTCGTCCGAAGATCAGCCGAAACGACCGAGCAAAAGTTTGGCCGGGACGTCAAAAGTTTGGTCTGGACTCGCTCAAAAGTTTGGTCTCGCTCGCTCGATTCGAAAGTGTGGTCGGGACGTCCCGGACCGGCGGTCGCAGGTCCTGCGCCACTACGGCTGCCTCGCGGTCGTCGACACGTTCCAGTACGCCAACGTCTACCGCTGCACGGCGGCCGTCGCGGCCCTCGCGCGGTCGCCCGACGCCGCGGACGCGTGCGCGGCGTTCGCGCTCCGCGGCGCCTACGAGGACGCGCCGGGCGACGCGCCGCGGCGCGACCGCGGGCGGCGGCCGCCGGACCGGCGCGGCGCGGCCCGCGCGCAGGCGGGCCGGGGCCGCGGGCCCGAGGCCGCGGGCACGCGGCTCCTCCGCCTCTTCTGCGCGTTCCGCGACGGCAAGACCGTCCGCGACGTGCTCCTCGACGCGGCGCGCGCGCGCCCGGCGCTCGTCGACGCCCTCGACCACCGCGCGCTCGTCGCGTTCGGCGTCGTCCACGGCGTGCTCCGCCGCGTGCACCGGTGGCCGACGGCCGTGGGCTTCGACGCGCGCGGCGCGCCGCCCGGCGACGTCGCCGCGCGCGCCGCGGCGCTCATGGACGGGACGCGCTGCATGGACGACGTCTGCAGCGAGCTCGACGTGCCCGCCGCGCGGCTCGACGCGGTCCTCGCGCGCCGCGGCGTCGCGACCGTCGACGTGTTCAAGTAGCGCGGACATGACGTGGTTCGTAACATATCCCGCTGGCGGGCTCTGACCCGTAACTTAAGAGCGCGGCTCTCGCCGGCGCGACCGCGGCGCGGTCTTGCCGGCCCGCGCCCGGATCGCGCCGCGCCACCGGGGGATTCCTACGACTGTCTATATTCGCGCGTCAGTGAGTCGTCGTTTGTCGGCGAGGGCGCGGTCTCGGAAGTCGTCGATGTTCAATGTCACCGATCGCGCCGACGTACCCGGCGTCGCCCTCGCCGAGCGGAGGCCGCAGTTACTCGGCGACGCGTCCCGGGGGGGCGCGGCGTCCCAGACCTCACGAGTCGAGGGCCTCCGCGCGGCCGAAGAGCGACTCGACGACGTCGGCCGTGTTCTTGATGACGGCGAGGGACGCCTCGTAGGTCGGGTCCTCGTTGGGCTCCGTGTGGAGCATGAGGCGGCCCTCGCCCTGGGCGAGGACGCCCGTGAGCTTCTTGTCGAGGATCATCTGCGCGAGCTTCTTCTCGACCTTGGGCTTCGGGAGCGCGATGAGCTCCGCGACGCGGTCGATCTCGACGCAGGAGAAGGGCTCGATGATCTTCGCCAGGTTGTTCTCGAGGATCGTGTCGTAGAGGAGGCCCAGGTGGTGCTTGATGAGCAGGTCCGCCTGGAGCTCGGCGCCGTAGCGGGACGTCGTCGCCTCGAACGCCTCGAGCGACCGCGCCTTGGCCGCGCGCGCGACGCCCGCCATGGCGTCGAGCTGGGGCCCCGCGTACTTGACGTACTGCTTCGACGTCGCCGCCGCCGTCGCCGCGTCGAGCGACGCGGTCGCGGACCGCGCGGAGCCCGGCTCGGGCTCCTGGAGGATCTGGCAGAGGAGCATGTACTTGAGGCACCGCGTCGCGCGCGGCCCGTCGTCGAGGCCGTCGTAGCCCTCGTAGGCCTCGAGGAAGTAGGAGTGGGCCGTGTGGTAGTCCTGCTCCTCGCAGTGGAGCGTGCCGCTCATCTCGTCGAGCTGCGCCTGGAGCGACGGGCCGACGTAGACGGCGTTGCCGTTCGCGCGCGCGGCCGTGAGCGCGGCCTTGGCCTTGGGGATGTTCTGGAGCGCCGCGTGGAGGCGCGCCTCGCTCAGGTGGGTCTCGACGAGGAGCTGCTTGTCGTCGAGCTTCTTGAGCTCGCGGAGCAGCCGGTTCACGAGCGTGAGCGCCGCGTCGTACTTGGCGCGCTCGAAGTCGATGGCCACGAGGCGGCACTCGACGCGCTGGCGGAGGAAGGTGCGCTTCTCCGCGACGCACCAGGCGATGACGCGCCCGCAGAGGTCCGCCTGGAGGTCGAGCGTGCCGGGCCCGGACTCGCCGACGATCTCGAGCAGCCGCCGGACGATCTTCGCGACCTTGGCCTTGGCGACGAGGGCGAAGAAGGGCGCCGCCGTGGACAGGAGGCCCACGACGAAGTCGAAGTTCCCGCTGCCCACGTTCAGCGTCGCGAGGGCGTAGATGCAGTCCTCCTTGAGCCGCACGCCGGCCTCGCCGAGCGGGGCGTCGGCGAAGCCCGTCAGGATGGCCACGAGCGCGTCGCTCTTCGCGGCGCCCTGGAGCTCGCTCGCGGCGTCGAAGGCCGCCTGCATGGGGTCCTCCTCGGGGTCCGCGGACGTGTCCATGGCCGCCATGGCGAAGGCGCGCGACGCGAGCGGCACCGGTCCCGCGATGGCCTGTGGCGAATGCGCGACGATGCTCGCCGCGCCGCTCGCGATGGCCTGTGGCAATCGCGGCGCGACGATGCTCGCCGCGCTGCTCGCGATCGGCTGCGCCGTCGCCGACGACGTGCCGGTCGTCGTCCTGCGCACGCCCGCGGCCGCGAAGATGGCGGCGCCGAGCTTCGAGGAGCTGTGGAACGACGCCGGCGACCACATGCCCTGGGTCGTGGAGACGCGGCGGGAGCTCCACCGCATGCCCGAGCTGCTCTTCGACGAGCACATGACGAGCGGCAAGATCGCGAGCGTGCTCGCGAGCCTCGGCGTCAACTTCACGACGGGCTGGGCCGTGAACACGAAGCGCGAGGAGCTCGCGGCCAAGGGCTTCGCGTCCGGCGCGGGCGGCACGGGCATCGTCGCGGAGATCGGCTCCGGCGGCGAGCCCTGCGTGCTCCTGCGGTCCGACATCGACGCGCTGCCGATCCACGAGACGGCGCCCGTGCCCTGGAGGAGCGAGATCGACGGCCGCATGCACGCGTGCGGCCACGACGGCCACGCGGCCATGCTGCTGGGCGCCGCGGCCGTGCTCAAGCGCCGCGAGGCGGACATCGTCGGCACCGTGCGCCTCGTCTTCCAGCCCGCGGAGGAGGGCGGCGCGGGCGGCAAGCGCATGGTCGAGGACTGCGCGGACATCAAATCTTCAACCCGACTTCAATGTGCGCGTAATTGGACGGATTGCGCCGGATTCTTCGGCTGTGCTTCGGGAACTCGATGAGAGCAATCGACGTCCAAAATCAGCCGAATCGACTTCGATTTGGCCGAGCTACTCGTAGAGAATTTCAAAGTTGGTCGGGACGTCCCAAACCAGTGGTTGATTTCCACACAGGTCGAGGAGGGCGCCTTAAAGCAGTTCCCGCCGGTGCGGGCGGCCTTCGGCTTCCACCAGTGGCCCTTCCTGCCCCTGGGCGTCATCGGCGGGCGGCCGGGGCCCATGCTCGCGGCGACGGAGCTCTTCGACGTCCTCGTCTCCGGCGTCGGCGGCCACGCGGCCATGCGCGTCGGCCCGCGTCCTCCGACGCGCGAGGGGCGCGCGCGGTCCGGCGGTCCGCCCTTGACCACGGCCGGCGGACGCGCGCGGCTCGTCACGAGCGTCGCGCCCCGAGAGCAACCGAGAGCGCCAATTAGCGCGGCGACGCCCGCCGCCCGTGCTGGGCCCCCCGGGCCGCCGCGTCAGTCGGCCGCCCCCCACGCCGCAGGCCGCACCGCGTCGTCGACCCCATCGTCGCCGCGGCGCACGTCGTCACGGCGCTCCAGTCCATCGCGAGCCGCGAGACGGACCCGCTGTCGTCGGCCGTCGTGTCCGTCACCATGTTCCACGCCGGCGACGCGTACAACGTCATCCCCGCGGGCGCGCGCGTCGGCGGCACGATCCGGTCGCTCTCCTTCGACGGGCTCCGGCGCGTCAAGGACCGCGTCGACGCCGTGGTCCTCGCGACGGCGGCGGCGCACCGCTGCAACGCGTCCGTGTCCTGGTCCCCCGACGCGTACCCGGCGACGGTCAACGACCCGGAGCTGTGGGAGTGGTCCGCGAGGGTCGCCGCGGCCGCGTCCGTCGAGGGCGAGGTGCGGACCATCGACCCGACGATGGGCGGCGAGGACTTCTCCTTCATCGCCGACGAGGTCCCGTCGACGTTCCTCGCGCTCGGCCAGGGCGCGACGGACTTCGAGACGACGGACGACGACGGCGCGCCCGTCGGGCCCTTCGACACGACCGTGACCGTCCACAACGGCAGGTTCGTCCTCCACGAGGACCTGCTGCGCCGCGGCGTCGCGCTCCACGCGCACCTCGCGCTCAACTACCTCGCGGACCAGAAGTAAGGCTCCTCCTTACGTGCGCGCCTTCCGGGCGGGGCGCGCCTTCTTCGCGGGCGGCTTCGCCTCCGCCCCCGCTTTCGCGGCGCGCTTCGGCGCCTTCTTCTTCGCGGCGGCGGCGGGCTTCTTCGCCGCCGGCTTCGCCTTCGACTCGGCGGCGGGCTTCGCCGCGGGCTTCCTCGCCGCCGGCTTCGCCTTCGACTCGGCGGCGGGCTTCGCCGCGGGCTTCTTCGCCGCCGGCGTCGAACCGCCCTTTTTCTGCACCGACGGGATGAACGCCGTCGTGCGGCCGCCGATGGTGTCGAAGTGGACGCGGCCGATGGGCGTGTCGACGGAGCCCGTCGTCTGCTTGATCCAGCGGTGGTGGAAGAGCCAGGTCTCCGGGAAGGCGGACGAGTCCGCGTTCGCGTCGCACGCGGTCTCGCAGACGCCGACGATGGCCTCCCGGAGCCGCGCGACGTCGCCGTCGGAGAGGTCGCTCGCTTTCGTCGCCGGGTGGAGCCGCGCGGCGAGGAGCACGTCGTCGCAGACCCAGTTGCCCACGCCGCAGACGACGGCGTTCTGGTCGAGGAGCACGGCCTTGATCGGCGCGTGCCGCTTCGCGAGCAGCGCGGCCATCGCGGCCGCGGGCGGCGGCGTCAGCGCGTCGGCCGCGAGCAGGGACACGGGCGGCGCGGCCGCCGCGTCGCCGTCGCGGAGGAGCAGCCGCCCGAAGCGGCGCGGGTCCGCGTAGGCGACGCGCGCGCCGTCGTCGAGCGTCAGCTCCAGCTTGCAGAACCGCGGCGGCCACGACGCCTCGTCGACGCGGAAGGCCTTGTACTGGGGCACGGCCTCGCCGCGGACGACGCAGGAGCCCGTCATGCCGAGGTGGATCAGCAGCGCGCGCGCCGCGCCGGCGCGCTCGAGCTCGAGCCAGAGCTGCTTGCCGCGCCGCCGCGCGCCGACGCACGTCGCGCCGACGAGGAAGGCTTCGACGGCCGCTTCGTCGGCGCCCTCGGCGAAGACCTTGTCGTCGAAGAGGCCCTCGCGCCCGCCGCCGCCCTGCTCGCGGCAGTCGACGGAGGCGATGCGGCGCCCGACGACGCACTTCGCCAGCATGCGCCGCTGCGCCTCGGCCTCCGGCAGCTCGGGCATGGCGCGGCTCTCCGGTCACTGCGCGGTGCTGCGCTGGCCTCCTGAGGCGCTGCAATGAGACTGCAAGTCAGCCTCAAGGCGCCGATTGGGCAGCATCGTGCCCCTCAGCGCCGTCCTCAGGCCTTGCGAGGAGCATGGGCGGCCAGGCCTGAACCGGAACCTGTGAACCATAACCAGAACCGTCCTCAGGCCTTGCGAGGAGCATGGGCGGCCAGGTCTCCGTGGGCGCCCCGCTGTCGGAGCGGCTCGGTGCGATCCTGAAAACCAAGTACGAGCAGTACAGCGGCCGGGGCTGCGACGACGCGGAGATCCAGGCCATCCTCGACGAGAAGCTGCCGTCCATCGTCTGCTTCGACCAGGTGGACCGGGACCACTCGGGCGCCGTCGACCGGCAGGAGCTGCAGGCCTTCCTGCGGGCCCTGCCGCGCCACAAGCCCGTCGTCGCGCCGGGCGAAACGCCGCCGGCGTTCGTGCCCTTCGAGCGGATGGTCGCGACGCTCGACGCCGACGGCGACGGCCTCATCACGCTCAAGGAGTGGCTCGAGAACTCGGCGGCGCTCCCGGGGCTCGAGGCCGCGCTGCGGCGCGCCGTGGACCCGGCGACGGGCCTCGTCGCCGGCGCCGAGTCGCTCGAGGCGGCGCTCGCGCGGCTCGAGGCGCGGCGGGACGCGGGCGGCGCGCGCGAGGGCGACGACGCGGAGATCGGCCGGCTCCGGGGGGTCGTCGGCATGGCGGGCCCGACGGTCTTCCGCCAGATCGACGCGGACGGCTCCGGCAAGATCGACCGCGCGGAGCTGGTGCGCGCGATCGCGCACCTCAACCGGTACGCGGACGCGCCGCTCGACGCCGCGGCGACGGGCGCGGCCCTCGACCGCGACGGCGACGACCTCATCGACGAGCGCGAGTGGGTCGCGCAGCTCTACCTCGTGCCGCGCCTCAAGGCGACGATCGAGGCGACCGTGGACCCGGCGACGGGCCGCGTCAAGGGCTACCTCGAGGAGGAGCACCGGGCCGCGGTGGCCAAGGCGCGGGGGGACCGGGCGCGGTCCGCGGCCGACCTCCTCGCGGCCGTCGACGCCGACGCCGACGCGCGCGCGCCGGCGGCCGCGCCGGCGGCCGCCGTCGAGGCGAAGTAAGACGGCCATCGAAGTCCCAGGCGCGCGCGCGCGCGCGCGCCGCTACCGCGCGGCGCGCCTGAGGCCCAGCGCGACGGCGGCCGCGACGCCCGCGACCGCGGCGGCGGCGCCGAGGCGCCGGGAGAGGCGGCGGCGCTTGTTCGCCGCCGCGCGCGCCAGGAGCCCCCGCGCGAACGCCGTCGTGAACGCGGCCGCGCGGAGGATGGACCCCTCGTCGCGCGCGGCGGCGTGCGCGGCGCGCATGCCGGCGACGTCGGCCGCGTCCTCGAGGGGCTCCCAGTCCGCCTCCTCGGCGAAGGAGTCCTCGCCCGTCACGTACTCCTCGAACCATGCCCGCGACAGGTCCTCGTCGACCTCGACGTGGCACTGGAACGCGTACGTCGACGCGCCGAATCGGAACGCCTGGTGCCTGTGTGGAAATCAAATATTCAAATCGACTTCAATGTGAGCGTATGCGACAGTTTCGACGCAAGCTCTTCGGCTGTGCTTCGAGAACTCGACGAGAGCAATCGATTCGTCCAAAAATCAGCCGAATCGACTTCGATTTGACCGAGCTAGAGAATTCTGAAGTTTGGTCAGGACCACCCAAACCAGTGGTTGAATTCCACACAGCCTGGCGCGCGCACGTCGGCCGCGTCGCGAGGAGGACGGCGCCCGGCGGCGGCGCGAAGGTGTCGCCGTGGAGCTGCATGAACTTCGGCGCGAGGGGCGTCGGCGGCGTCGCGCCGCGCCAGCGCTCCAGCGCCGCGGCGACGAGCGCGTCGTCGGCCGCCGCGGCCGAGAAGTCCAGCGGCAGCCAGCCGAACTCCAGGCCCTTCGGCGGGTCCGCGAGGTCGCAGGGCAGGGCCGTGTGGGCGTCGTCCTTGGGCAGGGGCGTCACGGCGCCGCCGAAGGTCCGCGCGACGAGCTGGGACCCGAGGCAGATGCCGAGCACGGGCTTGCGACGTCCATGGAAGTCGCGGATCAGGGCCTCGATCTGCGCCACGGCGCGCCGCGGCGTCTGGTCGTCGGCGTCCTCGCCGGCGCCCGTGAGCACGCCCAGGGGGCTGCCGAGCACGACCAGGAGATCGAAGCCGAAGGACGACGCCGGAAAGCGGTCCACGACCGTCGCCGTGACGTGGGCTTTGGCGACCATGAGGTCCACGACGGCGCGGCTCGCGAGCTCCACGACGTCGCAGCCGGCCTCGATCATGGGCGCGAGGAGCAGGCCCGGCGCCTCCTCCGCCGACGGGTTGATGATGAGCACGCGGAGGACCATCGTCCGCTGCCCGATGACGATGAAGCCTTGGTTTCCTCTTTGTTGACCAAGAAACCGCAAGAAAAACCAGACTCGTGCAATCAATGGTGCGCGTTCGTCGCGATGCGGCCGCTGCGGCAGCAGCCCTTCTTCTTGCCTCTGCATCCGCGTCGCAGTCCGACATCCTCTTGCAGACCTACTCGCCGGAGCACCTCATGAGCTTCGCCCCGTCGCAGCAGCCCGGCGGCAACTCCTACTACGACTACCAGTCGTGCGCGCTCCCGTCGCCGGCCGTCGACTACAGCGCCACCGACGCTCCAGACGTGGACGTCAGCCTGTGGATCTGGGACGCGGCGGACCCCGATTTCCTCACGTGCGCGACGACGGGCGTGTCCTTTCCGAACGGCGACTTCGAGGAGAACACGACGACGCTCGGACCGACGCTGGCGGGCCACCACGTCGAGGTCACGGCGATCAAGAGCGCCTACCCCGATGGCCTGCACCAGTGCTCCGCCTGCGGGGACACGGGCTGGCGCGGCGAGACGCGCTACGAGAGCGACTGGCGGTACGGCATCTACCTGCAGGGCTGCGTCGACCAGTACAAGAACGACTTCTTCCTGACCTCGCTGGACCGGCTCGCGCGGGACTACGCCAGCACGGGGAACGAGACGTACGCGAAGGTGGGGCTGCGGATGCTCGACCGGTTCGCGACGAATTTCGGCGACTTCCTCTGGAAGGACGCGGACAGCTCCTGGGGCACGCACGAGTCGGCACCCTATTTAATCTCCCTCGGCCGAGAACGTGCCCCTCAGAGCCGGCGAGCCCCGCCAGGCCGAGCAGCTCTGAACCTAATCCCAAGGGGTGCGTAGCGTCCCCGATCGAGAGACGCGCCGGTGTGGCTTTAGTGGGCCCCCAGTGCGCGCCTTGCATTGTGCGGGGCGGTCGTCGCAGGCACAGCCAGGCCAAAATCGGCGAGATTCCCTATCCCGCTTTACGCGTGGGTTAACGCCCCGCCGAGGCGCGTGGACGCTCCCTAAACCCCCCGGAGGCGTGCGGAAGGCGCGTGGGACGGGTGGTATGAGTTTCGTGCTCGGAGTCGTCGTCGCCGGCCGCGGCCGCGCGGGGTCGCGGATGGTCGTCGGGCCCGGGCCGGCCGTAGGGCTGGCCGCTGCCGTAGCCCTTCGGCACCGGGCCCCTGGGCGACCCCACGGAGGCGTAGTACAGCTTGATGGGGTCCCGCACGACGACGTCGATGAGCTTGGCGGTGCTCGAGCTGCTCCTCGACGAGCACGCCGTAAAGGAGCCGGATGGCCGCCGCCACGGGCCCGTGTTGGCGGTTGTGCTACTCGAGCTCGGGACCACACATCATGCCAAGGGCCTCGACCGTTCTGGGCGCGGCGCCGCACCCACGAGGCCGCTGCACAGCTGCGCCACCGACGACCGTGTGCCCAGAGAGACCGTTTCGACGGCCAGAGCGGCCCGTGCAACCGTGTTCGCGGCGTCACACGATGGCCTGCGGATCGGACAGCCACGCGGCAGCTTGCGCGCGTGGCGCAGGCGCAAGACGCAGCGTTTTCGGCCACCGAGGGGCGCCGCAGCGTGTCGAGGCAGCCCGGCGTTGGCCCTGAGGATGTGAAACTCCATCAAGATGCCGAAGCGACGACAAACTTTGAAGAAAACCTCGCCACTTTGAGCCCTAGGCTCACGCCGACACCCCTGGGTTAACTTCCCGGGGCCCGGGCACGTCCCGGGGCACTCCGCCAGGAAAGGCGGCGGTACCGGGGCCGTACCGCAGCTCGTCGGCCGTGTATTTTTTTTTTTTTTTTTTATATTTTCGGCCCCGCGCGCACGCGCGCGCTTCCGCGAGGTCGTCTTGCACGGTACCAAGGACGTCGAAAATGAATTCGGGACGTCGGATTTGTCTCTAGGCGTACGGGGGGCGACCTAATTCGTCGCGGGGGGATAGGGAATTTTGGCCTGGCTGTGCCTGCGACGACCGGGGGTGCGTCGCCAATCCGAAGAGAGAGCTTCCTGCAGCGTTGCAGCGCCCTTCGAAGGGGTTGTCGAGGGCGCTCCGCGAGTCTCGCGGCGAGCGGCGTGACGTCGGCGACGTGCGGCGAGTTCCAGCGGCTGCCCTTCCAGAGGCGGCGCTCGACGCCGACGTGCGACGCGCCGCTGCAAGAGGACACCCGCGCAGCGGTCCGTAGCGTCGCGCGGCGGGGCCGTCGAGCGTCTCGAGCGCTCGATCGCTGCCCGCGCCGGTCGCCGGACGCCAGCGCCGCGCGCTAGTCGCGCCGCGTCATGGTGCGGACGCGCGCCGGCAGCGTGGCCAAGCGCGCCGACGAGCCCACAGAGCACGACGGCGACACGGACGACGACGGCGTCGCCGACGACGACGCCGACGGCGCTGCGCTAGTGGCGCGCGTGCCGGGCCCCCCAGCTGACATAAGACCCACCTTCGGGCTACGGGCAGTCGGGGAAGGGGACTCGGCAGCGCGACCCATGCGCAGCAGCCGCATGCGCAGCAGCACCATGCCCACCTTGCGGTCGGCCCAGCGGGCGCCGCCGGGCGACGCGCACTCCGAGGAGACGGGCGTCCTCGCCGTGACGTTCCGCGAGATGGCCGGCGCCTACGAGGCGACGCAGCACACGCCGCTCTTGCCGCACCTCGCGGCGGCGCGTGCCGCGTTGGCGGACCTGCCCGTCGCGCCCGTGGCTCCCGAGCCGCCGCGCCGCTCCCGCCGGATCGCCGAGGAGGCGCTCGAGGCGGCGCTGAAAAAAGCGGAACGGGCCGCGGTCGAGGCCGTGGTCGCGGACGCGAGGCTGGCTTTGTCGAGCGGACAGGCCGCGCGCGAGCGCGAGCTCGCCGAGACCGAGGCGCGTTCCCGGCCGCCCTGGCCGACGCGGAGGCCGCCCGTCGAGGCTGACCAGTGGACCGCCATCGACGACGTGCCTGCCGAGGCCCTCGCCGCGTCCGAGTTCGCGCTCTGCCGGGTGCCCCACAAGAGCCTCGTCGAGCCCTGGGCCGCGGCGGTCGCCGACGTCCACGCGAGGTTCCTGGCGGAGCAGGATCAAGGACAGGAGCGGCGCGACCGCGCGCTCCTGTGGATCCTCGCTCTGCCGCAGCTATTATGGCGAAAGCCCGTGGTACTCCAAGCGCGGGCCCGTCAAGGCCGGCGTGGATTATCACGCGCGGTTTGACCTTTTTCGCCAGGGCCGGCTCTCTGA